TTTTGAAATCGCGTGCGAGAATTTTCTAGTACTTTCTCGAAATCAAAAAGAGATATTTATTAAATTTTAATGCACGCGCTCTTGTATTTTCAATTTTCCGGCTTTCTTTTAATATTCGTCACGCGCTGTACTGCGCGGGAAATAAAACTACTTAATTTATAATTGAACTAACATTAGCTTTTTAAATACCAAATTCGTAATAATATTACTAACTTATTAACATAGATCAACTCACTGCAAAATTGCTGAATTCACGTACAGCCGATAAATATGGAGAGGTAAAGAAAACACTCTCTCACTTTATATATATATATGTACGGAGCTCACATTTTTATTTAAAGTTTCAGTGTATATTGTTACGGTTTGGGAATACACATTCGTAATACAGGAATTACGAATGTGGGCGTAGGTTCCAATCGCACTTCTGATACCAAAAGGTGTTGCACTCGTACGGTTTCGTTATGAATTGAATGAAGAAGTCCGATGAAAAATGAAGGAAATTTATTATTAACATAACAAATAAAATAAATTGCTTAAAGTTCCTCAGATATTTGTACAATATGCCAATATCTTACAGTTGTTATCTTTCAAACTACTAAAAACGTTCAACAAAACTTAATTTAAAAGAGAGAAACGTAAAGAAAGGTAATCCGATTTCACCGCGAATTCACTACAGTAAACAACAGCAGTTTTCTACACAAACTCATAAAACAAGTGAATAATTAGAACTCCAATACTTTAATATACCGAACTATTGCAGGATGCAACTTTGCCCGTTCTTGAATTAACATCTTGAATAACAACAGATTAAAAATCTTGGTTGATTATTACAAAACATTTGTCCATACGCTGACAAACGTTGACATCTGAAACACGACAAGTAGCTACGATTGCTACGATATTCTCGGATACCCACTCTAAGATTTAAGAGTGTACGCTTCTTGTAAATGCTATGTCCAGTGTCATCTCTTTTTAAAGAGGCGAAGAAGACAGGTAGCTTCGTTACGACATCTTTGGTTTTCTTAGTGAATTGGGTAACCTTCAAAACAGGATAGCTAGCTTCACAAAGTTCAGTTTTGATTTCATCAATGCTGGAGTCTTCGATTAATTCTCTGATCACAACTTTGATCAGAGTATCTGCTTTTGTTCTAGAAGTACTAAATTGAACTTTGTTTTTTTTATAAATAACTGAAGAATTAAAATGTTACCCTCCTTTTATAAACTTTCTAAATCACGTACGAGTATATTCTGGTATTTTTTCGATTTTTCTCGAAAATCAAAAGCGTGCAATTACGAGATATCTATTTATTTAATGCGCGTACTCCTGTATTTTTAATTTTTCCGGCGTAGCGTTCTCTTAAGTCGCGTGCAGAATTGTACGGGAATATGAAACAAATTAATAACAATTCTATAAAAAATATCAAACTAAATAAATCGATTCAAAAAACCTTAACAATATATATAAATATTTCAGTCAATTCATATGCTCTTTGTATGTAGATGTTTCATTCATTTAATATTATAATTTCAATTAATGCTTATTTACTTATTTTTAGCACATTTTTCTAAATTAAAAAAGAAAGATTCTTAAAAAACTTTAAAATAGGTTGTTCGCAAAACGTTTTATATGTTTCTTCGCCAAATTAATCATTCTTTAAACATGTTTGTAATTTATTTCTTTTCTATTCTTATTCGTTGTCACTCTTGGATGTATTTATTCAGTTGCCATGATGAAGGAGACAATAGACTACTAAATTATGGCAATCGTTTCTCCTGCATCATTTCTCATTTTAAAATCTTTTCTCTTAAAACCTACTGTTTCCTCATCTTTTTCGGTAATTTCACAATCCGTCGTACCAATACTCTCAAAGATATTTTTTTCAATTAGATTAAGAATACTTAAAACATGGCCATTATATTGCAAAATCTACCTCATCTCTAAACCTTTAAAATTTAATTAATAACTCGTAATAAATGGAAAAGTATTTTATATTGAAATATCTGAACTTCTATTTCTTAAAACTCCACTCTAATCTAAACTCATTTTAAAAGTGCTTCCACTGTTGTCCCTATGTATGCATTTTCTAAGCATAAAAACTGTGCATTGTAATTAGCTTTTCAATTTGTTGTTTGTAAGACTAAATTATAAGACAAAAGTATTCATTGGTTTAATAAATTGCACTTAGTTTTATTACTTTTGGTAAGGAGAATGATAGGAGAAGAGAACGTGCTTAATTTAAATTAAATTATAGTGCAGTTAGAACTGGTTTGGCTTATCAAATGCAATCTTCTGTTATACTTGAGGGAGTATTATATATTAATATGTATATCTGACGCATTATATTTTTGTCGTTATTCCTAAAGAACAAAATACAAAATCTAATGATAAATGCATTAGAATACTCATATTTGTAAAATGTATTGGACCTACTCTGCATGACCTAGCAATGGTCATCTCTTTCATATTATTATTTAACTCTCTAGACAGAGTTTATCACTGAAACCTAGAAAATATTTTTTTTTAATTAACAATTACAAAGATGTTAGAATATAGCCTAACCATGGAAATAAAATTTTTGCTTAACATTTGAAAAGAGTTGTAAGCTACAATAATTATAATAAGCTTAAGAGTTTAATAATGCATCTGCCCAGCAGCATCCGAGCGGCTAAGCTCGCTGACCACTGGCAGTTCAATACGGATTCGAATATCAGCAAACGGGATATCTGCATGTATGTTTTATGGTTTTCCACATATGTGAGGTGAATAAACTCAGTTTTCCTCATAAAATATTATACAAAGGCACCGTTTCTTTAAGAAGACAGATGGGGTACGTGTTGCCATATTCTAATAAAGATCTCCAATATTAGATTCTAAACTTCAGAATAAATTCCTTAATTCAAGAGACGTAAGAATGCATCCTCTGAAGTTCAAGACACTTAAGAATGCATCCCCAAGAATTCAAAAATAAACTCACTTTAATAACGTATAAGTCCAAGAACTCTAAATAATATGTTTTAAACCAACTGTTTAAAAGTAATGCTAAATAGTAAGAAATAAACTTATTATGATATAATTGCAATATTAATACGGGCGTTTTATGTTTAAGTACAGTAAAATCAATTAATAGAATTTTGTGATGTCGGAAAACATTTAATAGCTCACATTTCTTGCAAATACTAGCAGTATATTTTAAGGAATATGCCTTTTACTAAATGTAACTTGTGGCAAATCCTCAATAAGACTGTAAGCGACTTATCGCTATTTCTAAGAGTGTAAAAACCCTTTTATTTGAAGCTAAGTAAGCTGAACAGAAGGCATACGTGGTGCTTACAAATCAGCCAGCATTTATGTCGAAAACTCAAAGTAGAATTTAAATTTAAAACTAAACCTAAGTATCAATTAACCAAAGGCTACGCAGAGTAATTTAAACGCAAAGTTGGCTTTTGGTCTCCAGGCAGAAAATATTCTGTCTAAGCAATCTCAAACCCTCACTTAAATACGCGCGAGCTAATTTGCATTCTGGCAGGAAAATGGAAAGAGAAAAGTTATAATATAGGTTATAACATAAAATAAATTATAACATAAAATAACTATAACAATGTAATAATTATAATAAAATAAAATTAATTTTAACATAAAATAACTGGTTAATTAACATAAATAAACCTCACAACAAAATCTTTTGCAGTCACTTTATTTTAAAAACTATAAACAATTTTCTAAATGTGACGAATTCAACTTAAACGTATATGTATTATGGCATAATTTCCTACTATTTACACCTCAATAAATTTAATTGCATATACTTAATAAAGTAATATATTATTTTAAAATATAGACTTTGTTGTAGTAATTTAATTTCCATACTAAATAATTATGATGCCTTGTTATGATATTATTCTTCGAATTAACGCGCGTGGAGACTTTTGAACGCCTTTAATAAAAAGAAAATGCCATACGTAGCTAGGCAATTTTAAACTGATCGCCTGCACGAGATGTTCAACAAATATTTGCGACAAACAGAGTGATAATAATTTGCTTATGGAAGGACATGCGATTCGCGTAAAAATAATTAATGTTAATAAATTTTAATAAATAACCAAATTTAATGCAATTATTTCAGATACAATCTTCAGGGACCTGCATGCATATAAGTTAATCGCTCCAAATTCTCTAACATTCTCTAATGTTGCATAATTTACTAATTTAATCATTTTATCATATTACGTGAATCCTGTCGGCTAGTATTGCATGCCAGAATTCGAATCATTCATAACTTGGGAACAGACTGCAGTTATTTCGTTTCCTCCTTCGTGGTTGCATACAGAGGTAAAATTCAACTATGATAATCTGTAAAACTACGCATAATTTTTTAAACACATGCCATCATCATAAAGCGAATATTTCAAAAGCATCTTACAGCAATGTTGCATAACTTAGGGTGAAAAAAGAAAAAAATCCTCATTTCATTCATAAAATTACATCTGCCTCAAATTAATTTAGGCAACAGTAACAAAAAATGCTATTTAAATAATTACTTATATGTTTTGATTTGATATCTCGAAGATTGATTTCCACTTGAGGAACACCTAGAGGAATCGAGAACCTCACCTTTGGAATTGTATAAAACTCATGGTTCCGTAGAAAGAAGTTTTAAGACTTTTCTATGGAACTTTCTTTTGTGAAATCCAGAATTCGTATATAATCTGCTGTCTCAAAATTCACCTTTCTTTGCCTGCCATTTCTTGTCAGACGTTTACAGATAATTCCATCCCAAAAGAGTATTTCTTAATCTCCTTTGTGAAGTATCCGATTTAGTGAAATTCTTTCACTAGGTCGATAAGGATTTCTTTGCCCCCCCTCGAAAAATACTTTTCAAAGTTTTGTTTACCTGTATGCTTTTTAGTTTAAGAAGGATTTCATAAATCTGACATTTTTGATGTTACAGAGCTCTTTAGATGGGTCTTTTCATTTTTTTTTGCCCGACAGGATATGTTGCGCTACTATGATATTTGCCATCCTTACGACCTAGCAAGACTTATCTCTTCATATGATATCAGACCTGCAGAGACATTATGTATTTTTTGGGAGCAGGCAAGATGAAAAATCAGCAATTGTCTTCACCGGGAATCTAACCACGGACCTCTGGAATAACGGCCCAGTGTGCAGACCACCACACCACGAAGGCACGCCAAGAAGGTGGGAGAAATACCTTAAAGACTTTTAGTTTATTGTCCATGTGTCCTTGTAGATAACTTGCTTCCACAATGTGTTCATTCTATATGATAAAATGCTCTTAATTTCTCTCTTAAATCAAAATCACATTTGTTAAAGTAACTGTAAGATTTAAGAGCAATTGAATTTTTCTAATAATAAGTAAAACCTCTGTAACAAAGAATATGTCGAAAGATTGTGAAGTTGTTGTGGTAGCTAGCTTGACCATACACAATTATTTCTTATGTTCTAATTTATTATTTCATTTATTATGTAAATCAATAATAGTAAAATCAAATTGCATGTTGGAATATCAGAACACATTACTATTATACGCACTACTCATAGTCGCACATTATACACTCTGTGCGGTCTATCGGCATCTCTTTTATAGGACCATCTGTCTTCATATTATAGCACGTTTTAATACAAATAAAGACTAATAGGGAGCAGCAGGAGTTTGCCACGCTTCTACAATTAAAATTATCCAAAACAATATCTTCCACTGACGAATTAGATTTCCCTGAGGCGTTTTGCGTACATAAAAATCAGTTCTGGTTAATCATCCGATTCATCATATTTTGTGGGGGCTTGGCTCGCTACGCAAAAAATACACTGTTCAAATCGTTTGCGGTATTACAGCTGTTTCAGCAAAAGCTTTGGAGCATCATGCTATGATTCAATGGTTCTGAGATCGTGATCTCTACCCGAGTAGAGCAGCAATGACATCGACCTTCACTAGCGCCATTAGTTAGAGAACATCACCATACACAACTCAACCAGTGTAGACCAGCAAAAAAAATGGTATTCATTACTTAATACAAATGGTGCCATGAGGCCGGCAAATTGTAAATTAACTACAGTAACACCTTTCCAACCACAATCGTATCCTTTTTACACCAGCATTATAAGATTTTTTTAACTTCTTTTTCTTTCACTCTTCAGTCAACTTAAAGGCGCTGAATTCGCTTTCTATCGTGTAGCTAGAACACTCTCTAATTATTCCCGGTTATTCTCGAGCAGATGGTTTCTTTTCCGTCATTGTGGACCTGCAGCTGAAGAAGCAGTCTCGGTTTAACTTTGAATATTTAGAGTTGTAAATTTACTCATGTTACACTAATTCCTGTTGCTTGTTAATAGTTATTTCAGAGCTCAAACTGATACATTTTCTTAGTGCTGCATTTATTAGAATATAATTTTATATTCATTTAATTTATAATATTGGTATAAATATATGTATCTTATTAGCAATAATGAATACTTGTAAATCATAGAAATTATAAAATGATATTTTTAAACTCATTTTGTTTTTTATGTATTCTAATATTTAGAACATGTATAGTATACTTTGCAATAACCAAATATATTTGTAATGACGTATTTTGCAATAATTTAATTGACATACTTTAATATAATGTCTTTGTGGTTATATTATATCCAATTTGTAATTCAGAATATTTAAGACATAACTGTAGTTAATAAATGATGTGTTTAACAATATATGTTTTGTAACTTGGTAAGAATGGCTTTGGTTTAATTCTTTTTTTATTGTCATTTTACAGGAATTATTTAATATTAGGAGAAAGAGCGAATCCAGTCGAATTTTCAATAAAACTGCATAGATTTTGAGAGTGCACAGATATGGACCTCTTTTCTTGACGAACAAAAAAAATTTTAGAAGTGGATGGAATAGCAACCGTATTAATAGCGGGCGAAGCAATGATCATTTGCATCAAGCATGGAACATTTTTATTATTATAACTGTAAAAGCTTTCAGATGACTGAACAGGAATTCATTTTGCGAATGAGGAGAAAGGGATTAATATTGGAAAAATAAACTTTGCAAATGTAAAAGGCTAAAAAGGTCAAATGATCTATGTGAAACTGTTTGTGGGTTATTTTCACAGAAACGAATAAGTCACATTTTCACAGAATAAGTCAAAATTGTGGTTAAACGACTAACAATAAGTATTAGGTATAAATAAAACATTTGATTAATTCTCGTTTAACCACGAGATTCGAACTCCTTCATGCAAAATTTTAACGCTATTCAAAACTATTGGAATTCTTTAGTGTCTTTTTTTTTCTTTCACATTTTGTTTCTTTTTCCCTTAACAGATGGAGCTAAGTTCGTTTCCTATTTGCTGTGGTTATTGATATACCTATAAATATTCTTGTTGGTCCTACCATCTTCGAAAAATTTTATTTATTTCCGAAAATGAAGGATGTATGGGTGATCACATATGAAAGCAATAGAATTTTCTTTAAAACCTTAAGCCAATGTAAGATTGCCTTTTTGCCTAACTTTAAATCCTCTACTGAAATGTTTCTTTTCCAGTTATATTACAGAAAATATTTGTGACGATTTTCTTTTAATTTTTTAATTTATTTCGATAACTTGTAATTCTAGCTGGGTTTTGTATCTTGTCGGTATGTTTTAAATACCTTCTTAAAATTTAGTGCTAAGAAAAAAAATTCCTTTTTCATAGATATTTTTATTCATTATTCTATTTTATCTTCAATAAATGATTCAAATCATCAACCACTGATTTCCTGAGGCATGAATCCAAGCATGCTTTGCGATATTAAATCAATTTTCTTGAAATGAATAAAGTCGAATTTATTTGAGATGAACATTACAGAGTCACTTGAAAACACGAATTTTATTTTTGATCTCTCAGTCGAGCTTTGTAATTTATTAAAAATGCAGAGAAATGATCAGTTTCATTCATCAAACATGTTAAAATATGACCGAACTATGATCTTTGGTAACAGACTTTTGTTTTTCTATCAATAACCTAATTTGTAAAATAGAAGTGCTTGTTATTAGTGTTTAGTTATTAGTGTTATTAGACGTTATTAGTGTTATTAGACGTTTAGTTATTAGTTTTTATTAGTTCTTGTTATTAGACGTTTAGTTTCTAAAATGTGTTGTTAAAGGTACACATTTTGAAATTATTTTTTAAGATTTTGAGTAGCTTACCTGTAAAAATCACGATCGTAATTCCTTCAAAAGGCCTGATAACACGGTCATTTTGAGGTTGAACATTATTCTACTTAGCAGCACATTCAATTACCGAATATTCATTGCACTAAATTTATTAATACGTATATAAAATGTGAGGTCATTCCAGTTATCAGATAGCGCACGTCAAACAGTTTTCTCTAGAACGTTTTATGTGCCACCTAGATACCAATCATCGAGAAAACATGCTTTCATTACGCATTCATTTTGACTACGGCGAAATTTTTCTAACAATATTTTATATACACACTCAAGTGCAAAATTAAGAAAATTTGAACATTATGTCTAATATCTGAAAACCTAAAGAACATATTTTAAGAAAATTTGGTATGAATATACATTTATAACTGAGAAAAAAACTTACCGTTCAAAAGTTATTTTATGTGCGCATGATTATCAGTAAATCTCATAGTTCAGGAATGTCTAAAATCCACGTGGTGATATCGCCCTGAAAATGAGTGTAGTATTAGGTATGGTCACCACTCACTCCACAGAGAGGATGCGCGGCTTTACGGCATTCTGAACAAGGGGCAGTTGAGGAATTCCTGTCTGCAGCAAGGCAATCTTCATCTCTGGGATGGTTTTTGGAGGAGGATGGCTAGATACAATTGCCCTCTCAAATGCGTCCTAGACATGCTCTCAGGAGATCTGGCTAGCCAACCCCTAACTTTTCAGGTAATCACCGACCAGTTGAGCCGTTTGTGAACAAACGTTGTCTTCCATTAACAGAAGTCCACGAACAACTACACCCCTGAAAATTCGAACGTAGGTCCCTAAAGCCCTCTCTCTATACCTTAAAGAAGTCAGGAAGCCTTTTTCAGACACATGCAGGAGTGCACGGCCGTCCAGCATAATGTCTTTCCAAAACCGTTGCACTTCCGCTATCGTAATGATCCTTTTACCCGACGAGGGAGGGAAGGTGTCGTGTTACAGGCTCTCTCGAATTTTATAGGAACGACGAAAGCCAGTATCCAAGCTGAATCTTCACTAATCTGCACTAACCTGCACTATGCTAAACGCGCTCTCTTGTGCACTGCAGTGAGCGGAAAGCAAATAGCGAGTCTTTTGGCATACAACTGTAGGCCCTGAAATTTAGATTACTTCAGCATATATTAGTAGCATGCAGCTCATGTGAGAATTGCGAATCTGTAGCAGTCCTGTGTCACTATGTTGAAAGTGCTAAATAATGATCATCATTCGTCATTGTGGATTTTGATCGATTCTTGTTCAGGTCTTCTCGATATGGATCCAGTGTCCTGAAACGGTTTCCACAAATTTCAGATGTCACTGAAAGTTACACTGAGCTCTGTAGCCACCTGCGGTTGTAATTAACCTGCCTCCAATCTACCAACACTTCTTCAACTCTTATCCTGTCATCCATACATTCTTGGATATTTCTTTTACCTGGTACCTTATAAAATTCAGATATCTATTACGATAAATACAGCGAATATCATGAAAGAATAAGAGCACACAAATCGTTAAAAAACTCTTCTCTTATATCGCCTCCACAGTCACAACTCGATGGAAAGGAACGTGTATGCTTATCTATTCGACTGAATATTTGCATAATTCTTCGGCGGCATAGTTAATACTAGTGTCGTAGAAATGGACATAATATAAAAGTACTCTTAGTTTTTCAGATTTAATTGTATATACCATAGGCGCCGCTTAGTGTGATCACGTTTGCCTGCAGCTATTTTGATAACATTAAAAAAGGATTTAAATCGGCCATTGTGCCAGGTCTGTCACTCCGTAAATCATATTCACTGCTGTATTCAATTCTGAATCATCGCACATATAACTCAGCTTAGTTGTTTCAATGAACCAAAAATGAGATATAATTACATATTTACAAAAAGGACTTTTTATTAACAAAATTTGCTTCGAAACCAAAATACTTTAATAAGCGATGAGAACAGCACGTTCAACTTAACATTGGCCTGTAGGCAACGCTGTCGCATATTCTGTTGAAAAATGCTTGATGCGTTTTTGCCGTATAAAGAAAAAGCTCCTATATATTCATTTGATAAAATTATAGTAACATATGTGTCTCAGATAAGATGCGAGCAAGAGTGTGTTGATTAATACACGCAATAGGTTTTTCCTTCCTGGTATTCTTAACCGACTATCGGAGTTATATATCAATAAAAGCTCACAATTCTATTTTCCTCTAGAATACTTCCTGACCGTATCTCATCGATAAAAATTATTCTATAACAGAAAATATTCGAGAGCCTGGAACCCCTTTCGCGTCCAAATACAGTACATCAGCCCTGCCAACAGAAATATGGCGAAGTTCGTTTAATTTATGTGTTCCGATTCTTCTCCGTTTTCTGTTCGTTTCTTCAGGAGGTAATTTTCGACTTTGATTCTATATCCTCGGGGCCGACCCTGCTAAGGATAGGTTGATGGGGTGTGTTATTCGGGGAGGAGGGAAGTATTTGGGCCATGCCATCAACGTACAGCGTTCTTTCATTTTCATTTCATTCAAGGATAATAAAATATCGTTAGGGGCTGTATCAGAACTGCATTTGTGAAATTCCAGCGTCTTGCTAAGAAGTTTTTGTTAAATTTCTTTTTTCCTTTAGCCCGTAGTGCAGATTTTACATACTGATTAACAAAGATCTGTATGCTGAATTTAGGAGTTCTGAGTGGCCAGGGGAATCAGACCGCTCAACACTTGCAGTTCGACCCGAGTTTAAATCCCGGCGAAAGGGATTGCATGGGATTGCTTATTACATAAATGTTAGTATATAAATTGTAAGTTTCACCGTTCATTTCTAACACTTCTTATTTTATTAAATGTATTGTTGAAGGGGTGCAACAAATTTATCTGTGATTTTACAACTTTTAATCATTCCTGATGTTTTCGCTTTTACAGTACTTTTCAAAAAAATTAAGATCCTTTAATCAGCGACTTGAATTCAAATATTTTACTGAGCCTTAAATTGTTTCACCAGTAGGCTATTTGATAATACCGCTGAAGGCTGGTAATTCGACTTGATTTCTAACCCCTGCGAGTTGATGTAGGTTTCTGCAATTTTCTCCATGTCTAACGTGAACCTGAGACAATTTCTCTTAGAAAGCCTTTCACGAAGGCATCTTATCCCCTAAGCTGATAACAGTATCATAATATAATAAATCCAAATTAAGCCATAGCGAAGCTTATATAAAGCGTCTTTAATTTGCATTCTAATTTTTTCTGCCTTGCTGAAGAAGAGTACAAATGATCTATTTCATATTGGTACAGCGAAATTCTATTTAACGTGAATTCGATATACGCGACGCTCATTTAGCTGAATTAAATGATATGGTACCAATTCTGGCCGAAACGTTAACCAGTTCATATGATTTTTAACGCTAGTGGACTTTATTGTCTCCAATTTGCAGCAATGGGAATCATTTAAATCCAGCAATACTGATAAAAATAAGTAAAAATAAAACAAATACAAGCGAATTGGAAGCAATTACAAACGAAATAAAACAAAATTTAATTCATTAAAAGGACGTCTTTCGCTGTGCAAGTAATATCAATGAGTGCAGATAGTAATTCAACGAAGAAGCAAAACCCAATTCACTAATTCCAGGAGGATAAGTTAAAAAACTTGATGTGGACACCATATGACTTCCTTGTTGGCATATAAATTATGCATATTTTTGCTGCATTTCATTTTTTTAAACTTATTTCTTTGAATTTCGTTAGAGATATAGCTCTCATACAATTCATTCAGTTGTCACTTCGTGGCAAAACAAAAATACATAAAAACTCAAATATCTTCGTTAAAAATTGTAAAATACAGAAAAACATAACACATTAAATATATTAAAAAGAGTA